GTTTCATCGGCTGCGGCAGGAATGAGCGCTTCAACTACTGCGTGATGACACTCTTGGGCCGCAATCTGGCCGAACTGCGCCGCTCCGTACAGCACGTGCACCAGAAGCCCGCCTTCTCGCTGTCCACAGCTCTGCGCCTCTCTCAACAGATCCTTCATTGCATTCAATCCATTCATTCCATTGGTTTCCTCCACAGAGACAGTGAGTCACGTGACGCGCATTCAGCCAATCACAACCCCTCTTTTATTTAGTCAAACCGTCGAACTTCGCGATCGGGCGGACGGAAGCGACGGCCAAACGGGTGTTCATGTTGGACTTCGGTCTCGCGCGCCAATACATCATCTCCAACACCAACGAAGTGCGGCCGCCGCGCGTGGCCGCCGGCTTCCGCGGCACAGTCAGATACGCGTACGTGTTGTCATGGTTACTGTCATGACTCCATTGACCCCTCCATTCATAGGTCGGTGAACGCGCACAAGAACCGCGAGATGGGGCGACACGACGACCTGTGGTCGCTGTTCTACGTGCTCATCGAAATGGTCAACGGGTCGCTGCCGTGGCGCAAAGTCAAGGACAAGGACTCTGTGGGGCTCATGAAGAGCTCATTCGACCACAAGCTGCTGCTGAAGCACCTGCCGCAGGACTTCAAGCAGTTCCTCGAACACGTCGAATCCCTGCAGTATCTCGACGCGCCCAACTACGCCCTCTTGTGAGCAACACACTCCATCCGATCCAATCCATAACAATCTCCTCTCTCGGCAGGAACTCCATCTTCGAGCGCTCCATCCGCAGACGCGGCGTCCGCGCCGNCGACGAGAATTGGATCCAATGTTTGGCCGAACGAAGAATTTCGGGTAAACGAGAGTTGAAAGCGTTGTCAATGACTGACTGTCTTTACCTCCCATTAGACGCCGTGTTCGCGGGGAACCCGATGTCGATCATGGCTTCGTGCGATTGGATGCGCGCGATTTGCAGAAATAATTGCGAGAATTGAGAATAAATTAATGTTTTATTGAATTATTGCTAAAAATCATCGAAAAAATCGTTTTCTTATTCTCGAAACGCTTTCCAAAAGCGGTTCTAAAGACTCTTCGGGAGGATTAAGTGTCACGTGACTAGAGATTAAGAGGTTGTCGCAAGAGGTCCACAAAAAGCCGTTCTTTTGAGTGATTTGTGGAAAACTTTTGGACAAAATGAGAGTTTTTTTGAAAGACTTTTTCTCGCGAAACACGAAATCGTTTTCGAATTGGATTTCTGTCAGACTTTGCGAACGAAAAGCCAACAAATGTTTGCAAATCGGATAAGTGTTGGAATCGAAGCGTCGCTCGCGCCACCGCTCGTCCTCGCGCTTCTCGTCGAACGCCATGTCCTGAATGACGTCATCGTTCGCGTCGTTCAGCGCCACACTCTTCTCCCACAGGTGTCTGCGGAGAACAGCGTTAACACAACAGAAGACACAGAGAGGTCAACTCACGAGACGCAGTACTGCGTGACGTTGCGGCGGCAGTCCTGGAGGTCGCGCGCGTTCTGCGGCCGCTGCGACAGCTCGTCTGCGCACGCGTGCATCTGCGTCATCACCGAGAAGTCCACTTTGGGCTCGAAGTGCGCTTTCGGCTCCGACTTCAGGCTCTTCTCCGCCGGCGCGTTGTTGTTGTTGTGGAGCGCATGCGCGGACACGCACGGCGTCTGCTTCGGCACGGCGTTGGCCGCCATCTTGTTCTCGTTGGCGTCCGAGTAGTAGCCGACGCTCGTCTCCACCTGATCGGCGTTCGCCTCGTTGTTGGCGCGCATCAGCTCCCAATCGAAGGGGTCTTCGGCGCGGACGCCGCGTCTGCGGATGGAGCGCTCGAAGATGGAGTTCCTGCCGAGAGAGGAGATTGTTATGGATTGGATCGGATGGAGTGTGTTGCTCACAAGAGGGCGTAGTTGGGCGCGTCGAGATACTGCAGGGATTCGACGTGTTCGAGGAACTGCTTGAAGTCCTGCGGCAGGTGCTTCAGCAGCAGCTTGTGGTCGAAGGAGCTCTTCATGAGCCCCACGCTGTCCTTGTCCTTGACTTTGCGCCACGGCAGCGACCCGTTGACCATTTCGATGAGCACGTAGAACAGCGACCACAGGTCGTCGTGTCGCCCCATCTCGCGGTTCTTGTGCGCGTTCACCGACCTATGAATGGAGGGGTCAATGGAGTCATGACAGTAACCATGACAACACGTACGCGTATCTGACTGTGCCGCGGAAGCCGGCGGCCACGCGCGGCGGCCGCACTTCGTTGGTGTTGGAGATGATGTATTGGCGCGCGAGACCGAAGTCCAACATGAAGACCCGTTTGGCCGTCGCTTCCGTCCGCCCGATCGCGAAGTTCGACGGTTTGACTGCGAGAGAGAGAAAGAGTGTGATTGGCTGAGAAGGCGGTCACGTGACTCACTGTCTCTGTGGAGGAAACCAATGGAATGAATGGATTGAATGCAATGAAGGATCTGTTGGGAGAGTCTCAGAGCCGTGGACAGCGAGAAGGCGGGCTTCTGGTGCACGTGCTGTACGGAGCGGCGCAGTTCGGCCAGATTGCGGCCCAAGAGTGTCATCACGCAGTAGTTGAAGCGCTCATTCCTGCCGCAGCCGATGAAACGGCACACGTTCTGCGACGTCGTCTGCAGCTTCTTCAACACCGCCACTTCCATCTTCAGCACCTGTAATGAGATGGGGTGAGCGGTGGTCACCACTGGTCTCAATGATCACCTGCTTCTGCTGCTGCGTGGACTCCACCTTCAGAGCGACCAAACACTGCGTCTGCAGATCCAAGCACTCGAAGATCTCGCCGAAGCCGCCGCCGCCCAATCGGCGCACGACTCGCCAGCGCTCCTTCACGACGTGTCCCGCCGAGAGCAGCGACTGTGGCGCCGCCTCTGAGCGCGCTTTCGCCGCCGCTTTGTCCGCGACTTCCATTTCAACGCATTTTCGAAAGCTTTTGCTATTTTCGGAACAATCGCTCGCAAAGTACGTCCGATTGGAGTGTTGAGCGGTGACGTCACTCTCGGCACACGTGGCGCCGCTTTTGTCATTAAACTCTGTTCAATATTAGTTCCGCGTTTCCACAGCACGCGAGGGGGCGCTCGCGTGACTTCCGGTGTCCGCTGCGGAGCGGAAGCGATTCGTGACGTAATTGGCGTCATAGACAGCGCCATCTGCGGGGCGACGAGTGCGGCGCTGAGTCACAGTCTTTGTGCGTCTGCGCAGTCGTCACTTGGATTACACGTCATTTTGGTTTTACTCCTCTTTTTGTTGTCATTATTTTTCGTCCATTTTATCGAAGAAATGAATCCCGAATAGTGAGTATGGATTGAGTTGTGGTCACGTGACGCTAACTGTGCTCTGATTACAGCGACTATCTGTTCAAACTGCTGCTGATCGGCGACAGTGGTGTTGGGAAGAGCTGTCTTCTGCTGCGTTTCGCGGACGACACGTACACCGAGTCCTACATCTCCACCATCGGCGTCGACTTCAAGATCCGCACCATAGAGCTCGACGGCAAGACCATCAAACTGCAGATCTGGGACACGGCCGGCCAGGAGCGCTTCCGCACGATCACGTCGAGTTACTACAGGGGCGCGCACGGCATCATTGTCGTCTATGACGTCACGGACTTGGAGTCCTTCAACAACGTGAAGCAATGGCTGCAAGAGATCGACCGCTACGCGTGCGACAATGTCAACAAACTGCTGGTCGGCAACAAATGCGATCTCACGGCCAAGAAAGTGGTCGAGTTCGCCGCCGCCAAGGAGTTCGCCGAGAACCTCGGTTTGTGTACTGTTGTCGTGACAACCATTAATGTCTGTTGTATTGATAGGAATCCCGTTTCTGGAGACGTCGGCGAAGAGCGCGACGAACGTGGAGCAGGCGTTCCTGACGATGGCCGCGGAGATCAAGGCCAGGATGGGACCGGTGGCGGGCGTGGCGGCGCAGGCGGGCCACACCATCAACCCCGGCCAGACCAAAGACATCTCCGCCAAGAGCAGCGGTTGTTGTTAGAGCGCGCGCGAAGCATTCCCGGAATTTGTATTTAAATTATAATTAGATTTAATTTTGTTTTTCCTTTCAATAAAAAGTGTTTACAAAATGTGTTTCCATTTCGGGCCGCGAGAGGCCGCCACCGCACCTGTCAACACTGCCCCCCTATTGCGTACGTTGTATGCGAACGGCGCGCGCATCCTGTCATGAATAACGTCTTGATTGCTTGCATTGCGTTCTATGCGAGGGTTCGAGAGTTGTGAGGCTTTCTCGCCGTACTTTCGCTTTGAGTTCTCGAGACAGGAAACAAACGAAAGAAAGAAACGCGAAATGAATTCCAATTACTCGGAGATTCTGAGACTTCGATCGCAAGAATTCTATTCGTCGTTAATGTCTTTCGGCGACCACAACAACGCCAACACGTGGTTACAAACGGCCGCCGCCTTCACTCCCATCGCGCGCTCCAACTCTTCGCTCAGTTTGGACCAAAAGTCGCGGACTTTTCATCACAACAATCAAAACGGCATTCATTTCAACGAATTTCAGGTATTCTTGGCGTCAATTGTGACAACAATTAAAGCGAGCCTTCGTTGCAGGAGTTGAGGGAATGTCGGTTCGGAAGCGATCGCAACAAACAGACGACACATCCGTCGAAGTCCGTGACGTCGCTGTCGTCGGTGTCGCCAAAGAGGACGCCGTCGACGACCGCCGCGACGACAGCGACGCCGAAGAGTGTCTCCCAATCGCGAGCGAAGTCCAGAACTATTTCTTCCATTCATTCTTCGCTTTCCATAAGTAACGAGAATTTGAGTCAAAAAACAAAGCAAAAGAAAACGAAAAGTTTGTTCTTTTCGTCGACAACGACCTCAAAGAGCACTTCCAAAGAGAAACCAAATGACAAAACGGACACCAATTGTGAAGACATCCAAGAAATGGAGAGAAGACGTCGTTTGCGACAACTCTTCATTCATTACGACATTCAGTCGGCGCTCAGTTTGGATGAACTCTTCAACGACGACAACAACACGACAGCGACGCCAACGACGACGGCGTCCAACGACAACACGACGTCCGGCCCGTCGTCTCTCACGTCGTCCAACAGTTCCGATTCGGTGACGAACGACAAGAATGGCGTCAAGTCTGACGACAGCGACGACACCGATGAGACACAACTCTCCGAAAACGAATTCAACTCAAACTCATTGCTCGCCTTTTCGTCCAATTTTCGAAATGAGTAATAATTTGCATACAATTTGACACAACTTTTGACACAATTTTCTTTCGACAGAATCGGCAAAGAATTGGTTCATTGTTTGCATTTGAATCGTGAGAACAGCGGAAACGACAACAACGACAACCCTGTCGTCAACAAGACGTCGCCTCAACGACCCCAACGTCGCGCCCGTCGTCCCACTCATACGCCAGCGTTGGCGCGACAGCTGTCGTGTCTGTCGTCGTTCGACATGTCGTCGGACGTCACTCAGGCGTCGCTCTTAACGATGTGTGCGAACAATACGCAAACTTTGTGTCCGTTTTCCAAAGATTACGATTTGGAAGAGAAGTGTTTGGAAACGGATTTCGGAGCGAATTATTATCGCAAATATTTCTACGGATTTTCGCATCAAAACTGGTTTCAGGTTTTGACGACAAAAGACGACAAGAAGACGACCAAAACTGCGATCGCTTTGAGTTTGAGAAAGGATTCGAAAGATTTGAAGAAATTTCGTCTCATTTTGAGAACAAATCATTCGTTGAAAGCTTTGAAAGGATTTCTGAATTTAAATCACTTGAAATCGAACGAAAACGACATGAACTTGAAATCGCTTCTGGAACTGCTGTTGCCGAAGAAGTGGACGAAAGACGCGGAGTTCGTGAACACGTGTCGCCTCGGCTTCGACGCCAAGAGCGACGACTTGTTGTTGAAATTCGACGAATTATTGGAAAACAATTTCTTCAAAATCGGCATTTTATACGCGCGCGACTCGCAGTCCACGGAAGAGGACTTCTACAACAACAGAGACGTCTTCGACGACGACTTCGACGCCTTCCTGGCGGCCATCGGGACGCGCGTGCGGCTCAAGGGCTACAAAGGCTTCCGGGGCGGTCTCGACGTGACGACGGACACGACGGGTTCGCACGCGTTCGCCACGACTTATGACGGGAGGGAAGTGATCTATCACGTGATGTCGGAGCTGCCCTTCTCGCACAACAATCGGCAGCAACTGCTGCGCAAGCGCCACATCGGCAACGACATCGTCACGATCGTCTTCCAGTCGAAGCACTTCCGCGGCCGCGCCTTCGACCCCTCCGTCATCCGCTCGCACTTCCAGCACGTGTTCCTCGTGGTGCGCCCGCATCACAACGGCTACCGCGTGGCCGTCGCGCGCCACAAAGACGTGCCGCCGTTCGGACCGCCGCTGAAGCCGTTCTATCGGCGCGAAGAGTTGCGCGCTTTCCTGTTGGCCAAAGTGCTGAACGCGGAGAACGCGTGCCACCGCTGCGCGAAGTTCAAACAGATGGCGCTTCGCACGCGCTTCGAATACCTCAACGATCTGTTCCAGAATTTCACGACACAGACGACAGTGTCGTCTCTGCAGTCGTCGCTGTCGTTCCCGACGTCCTCTTCGACGCAACAATTGATTCAATTCTCGCAGAACTTTAATAAATACTTTTCGCAAATGTTTCCCAAAAAGACGGAAAAACAGGCGAAGAATAAGCCGAACGACACGACGACGACGACCGGTGGCGACGCGTTGACGTCCGTCAAGACGTCCACAGAATCCAAGAATATATTCCTCGAAAATGAACTGTTTTTCGGTGCAAAACTATACGAAGCGATTGACGACGTGTTGGACGACACGAGTGGACGACGACATGACGACGAGCGACGACACGACGTGACGACGAGTCGTCTGAAGTGTCACTCATTTCAACACAATGTGGACGTCTGTGACGTCAAGATTCTGTTGAGTCAAAACTTTCTTCTGGTTTTGTCGAAACGAAAAGTATTATTTGTCTTACAATTGGAACAAATCATTGGATTCTTGTTAACGAATGGCGAGAAAAGTCGCGATTCTTGGAACGCGAACGCCATTGAGATCCAATTCAAAGTGTATTTCCATTTCGGAGAACTTCTTCTCCTCAAAGAACTGCTTTTCGACGCGAATCCGACGGACAGTGAGTCACGTGACGCCAACATCGAACGCAATTCGCTGCTCTTCGAACTCAAAGCGGATCTGATGACCAAAATCCGGTCCAACTCGCGAGAGGGCGCTCTGAGGACGCGGCAGATGAAAGCGGTTGTGTTGCGGCGGAACGCGCTGTCGTCCGACGCGTCCTTCGGTTTTCACATCCAATCAAAAGCGTTGAATTGCGCGCAAAATGTGTGCGTTTTCGTCACCGAAGTGAACGAACACGCGCTGCGGGTCAACGAACTGCGCAGAGGTCAACGACTCCTCGAATTGTGTCATTTGTCGCTCATTTCTCTCAACTATCAAGAAATCCTCGATTTCCTCAAAACCTCGCAAAACGTGTCCATAGCTTTGGTGCAACCGCTGGCCGACGGCTCGCCGCGAACCAACGGCTGCTTCTCCGCCTTTTGCTCCGCTCAGGCGCTCGTATGCATTGCATTCGTGTTTTGTATTCTTCTCTAACTCTTCTTCTCTTTCAGCAAAACTCGAATCAAAATCTTCAGCAAAACGATTACGAAAACATTCAAACTGTTGTCAAACAGGATATCGTCCGTCCATTGGTCGTCGCCGACCGCCAGACGCCTGTCCTGTCGTCACTGACGTCGTTGGCGACGACACCGACGCCTCCGACGACACGAAGTCCGCAACACGTGATGAACGTCTACAACACTGGACGACAGCACACGTCGCCGACGCACACCACGAGTCATAGTCAGCGCCCGCTTCACGTGAAGAGCAACCAAATGGCGCACCACTTCCAGAACGCCAATCACATGTCGTCGCAGTCGTCCACAGCGTCGTCAACGCTTCAGGGTTTGTCGCCAACACTCACGTCACGTGATTCTCATTTATTCATCTCTTTGCAGAGGATCTGATAAAACTGATAACTCTGAACGACGGCGACGACGAGACGACGGAACGGACGCTCGACTCCAACAGTCACTCGTCGTCGCGTTACTCCACCGCCACTTCCACGCCCTACTCGTCGCTCGAGCGCCCGTCGCCTGAGAGCCGGCGGCCGTCCCTCCCCACCACCAAAATGACGCCACGACGACAGCCGATGACGACGGCGGACGACGACTGTGTCGTCACTGTCGCCAAACCCGCGTTCGTCGTCAACTCGACGTCCGCCGTCTTCGCGCGCAAACAACTCATTGACGACACTTTGAACTCGAATATCACGACAGATCACGTGTTGGCGGAGGAAGAGCTGCAATGGCCGCCGCTCGCCGCCAACCACGACACTCACCTCAAGGAACAAGGTTTGCGAGAAATCCATTTAATTCCTTCGCTAACTTCTCTTCCTTTCAGTGAAAGAGTTGTCGAAAGAAAAGTTACGATTGAATGAAACGATCCGTCAGTTGAAGGAAGAGAACCAAAGACTGCACTTCGAGTCGCAGACCGCGAGCCAACAGTTGCGCAAATTCACCGAATGGTTCTTCTCGTCGTCTTCGGGCGACACAAACGACGACCAAAACAACTCTTAACTTATTTTTCTATTATTTATTGCAATAAAAGACGTTTTTTATATCCTAACCACAAATTACGTGTCGATCGATAGAATGTAAACAAGAGATGAGCGAAGAATCGTCTCTTCCCGACCTCTCGGCCGCCTTCCACGGCCTCATCGAACGCCGAGAGGCCGAACAACGACTGCTCACTTCCGGTCTCGAGGACTGCTTCCTTCTGCGCGAGTCGTCGTCGCGCGCGTCGAACCAGAAGTGGTTTGTGCTCTCCTTTCTCGGCCGCAAGTCTGGCGTCAATCACTTCCGCGTTCAGCACTTCTGCCAACACTTCTACATCGGTTCCAAAGCCTTCCCGAGTCTTCAGAAATTAATCACTTTTTACCACTTTTCCGACCTCTTGAGAGGCGAAAGACTCCAGAATCCGGTGCCGCCGCCCGAACCCGTGGTCGAGACGTCGGCTCCCGTCAGACGGCTTGTGGCAGTCCTTCCGTACTCCAAAATCCCCGATTCAGACGAATTGTCGTTCAAAAAGGGCGACGTCTTTGTCGTCCACAACGACCTCCAGAATGGATGGTAAGTGTCGTCACTGACGACAGTGTCTTCTGAACTGTCGTCTCATGTCG